CGTTGTTGCAGTCACAATGAAGAGAGCGCTCACAGAGCACTTTGTACTGTGTGAGCTGGGAAATCCCTCTGCTGATCCCTATAAGTTAGTGTTAGTGTTAATGTAGGGTGAGAATTAATGCTGTGTCTGGGTTACAGATATTGTAAGGTTAAAGGGACACTAGTCACCAGAACAACGACAGCTTATTGTAGTTGTTCTGGTGTGTATAGCCTGTCCCTGTTGTAAATAATGCATTTCCTGTTATTATAGTATTGCTTTAAGGGTAGAGGTAAGATTAGGGTAGGTGCATGGCTAGAGTTAGTGTTATGGCTAGGGTTGGTTAAGGGTTAAAATTCCTACCAAAATGTAACTCAAACCCTAGACATTTGTGACATTTTTAAAACTAGAACTGATATGTGACTCTATTTGGAGTTCTTTTTCTTTAGCTGCACTTCATGTGTACACATTATTAGAAGGAAGACTTTTTAACATTTTAATCATACTTAATTTAGTGATATTTATACATAAAGGATAAAAAAAAGAATTTTGTCCTTTAAAAAAACAATATATAATACGAATGGGTGTACCTAAAATTAAGTCATTACTTCTTGTAACACCCACTTCTTGTCTGCCTGTTGCTCTGGCTGATCTCGTTTTCATTTTGTACGGCTACGTTATCTTAGTATATTCCCTATGTATGACAAAATTTGACATAAGACAGAGCTACTGCCATCCACTGTCTGTGGAGGTTCTTGCGATCTCCTGACAGATGAGCTCCAGTTAGACAAAGAACCAGGAGCTGAAGAGGACTGGCAGGAAGATCGTAACATTGGCCGTGAGGGACAGGTTCAGTTAGTAAAACTCAACTTCCCCTGCACCCTGCGGCTACCACTCTCCGTCGGGGGTCTTTGTCTATTTTGACAGAGCTTCTTTAAAGTGTTACTTCAAGCACCATGACAACTTCAGTAATTTCAAGTGATAATGGTGCCTGGAGTCTGTATGTGTGTATTTCTAGGGTTTTCATCAGCAAGCCTGGAAATTGAGTTCCGCAAATGTCAATTCTGTGCAACTTTCATTGTGTGAGTCTAAGCCAGGGACGTGTAGTTAGAGCTGTATAAAAAAAAGGTGTTTAACTCGTACATGGTAGATAACTGAGCATTAAAACTGCAAGTGCACATGCTCTATAAGACAAAAATTGCTTTATTATGCAAAAGTAGTTTTTGTGCTTAGAGTGTCCCTTAAATCATCTATATGCATGTTGTCCAGGCGCTTACACTGCCCGTTTAACCGACACAGATTTTCTAGGCTACATAACTAGTGAGGTGAGGGGGCAAGATGTTTTTGAGATTCCAAAATATTCAGTGCTATGGCATTTTCTTTTGTTCGATGCATCACTAAAACCAGCAGCGTGAGCATGTGTCTCTTTGAAATATTTTCTCATTAGTCCACTTTGACAAGTAAAGTGCAGAGCGCTCAACTCCTTTGCCTTTATTTCCTGCCTCTGTTTCATCAAAACAAGAGGCCTAACATTTTTAGAGCTGACATAAGAATTAGAGAGCAGATTCAGAAAGGCAAACCCTTGCATATACTGCTTCTTACAAACCTTTCGGTTCACATTGGAACTCATGTTCTGTCAGGGTGAAGCAAAAACTATTCTGGACTTACGTTTATTAGAAACTCTTATTCAGCTAGAAAGGTTGTGACAATCAAGAGAATAAAATATTAAAGGATTAAAAAAAATAAGGTCACATGCCTTCTTATTCACATGCAAGATAAAATATGCATAAAACTTTTTTAACAATGCATAGAGGAAGTATTTAAGACCCCTTCATTTTTTTTCACATTTTTTTTTTTTTTTTTATAAATTCTTTATTTTGAAAGGTTTTTTTGTGATGGGGTGGGGGTACAGAAGAAGAACCGAGGAGTTAGCATTATGAGATACAAGATTCATTCAACTGAGTTTACAGTGATCAAGCATTGCAAACACATGTACCAGATATCTATTAGAAAACTCAACTTGGGTTAAGCGCAACTAGATAATTTCTACATTCTCGTCGGAGGCTGTGGTTGGAGCACCGTGTCACTTGGTTGTAAGGATGGCATATGTATTTCTTGATTTTGCGTCTGTTCGATTGGTTCCGTATCAGGCTGGTTTCAGGGTATGCCTTTTTTGGTGGCTAGGGTGTTTGGAGATCAAGTGACTTGGTGGACGTGGGAGGACATGGTGCGTCCATTACGGTACTCTTAGCCTCTTGAGGTCTCTGGTGCAGTCGGCTCAGGGAGATGGGAGAGTTTACAAGGGTGGAAGGGGGGGGTAGTGCGTCTTTCAGTATCTTATTGTGTGTGTCTTGGCTTATATTCGTGTGAGCGAATTTGTGGTGTTGGGGGGTTTGGAGTTTTTGGGTAGAGGGGCGAGGGGGTGTGGTATGGTGTTGTGTTCTAAGGAAATTGGGTGGTGGAGATTTGCAGTTCGTCCACGTAGTATCGAGCCTTTATCTGGGTGTTGTGTCGGGTAATTGTGCTGTGGTTGTGGTGTTCTGGTTTGCAGTGTTTAGGTCTTTGGCTAGGCACTTGCCGTTGTTGTCGGTGTGGTGGGGTTGTGGGTCTCGACTGTATCTGATGTAGTCGGTTTTGCAGGGTCGGGATTGTTATGTCGGGGATGGGTTGAGTGGCCTTGACCTGTGTGAGTAGAAGAGCTGGTAGTGTGTGTGGGTTGAGTTTTTGTTGGGATGGTGTTGCTTGAGGGGGGTCGAGGATTGCGTATTCGGGGATGGGGGTGTGAAAGAGTGGTGGGTGGGAGATATTGGCATGAGGGCTGAGGAGTTGTCTGGTGAGAGCGGTGTGGGGAGTGGTTGTGGGTCTGGGTTGTGAGATGGTTATTTTCGGTGGACTGTGTGGATGTGGATGGGCTCGTTCGTCTAGTTTGGGATATAATCGGGGTTTTCCCCGAAGTGTGTTGGGGTGGTGGTGGGTCTCGTCAGTTCATGGGTTGGACATGGCTAGTGGGAACTCGTAGAGCCACGGGTCCCAGATTTTATTGAAGGTGTTTGTGGAGTCGTGTACTATTGCGGACAGTTTATCCATTTTTCTGGTTTCTTCTATTTTGCGTTTCACTGTATGTATGGTTGGTACGTCTGGTTTGCTCCAGGCTTCTGCTATAGCCCTCCTAGTTGCTAAGGCGATTTTAGCTATCAGCTTGTTTTGGCATCTGGGGGTGTTTTCTAGGGGTTTTGAGAGGAGCCATGTCCATGGGTCCATTGGGATATTGGTATGTAGTACTTTGGATGTCAGTTGTGTGATTTGGAGCCATAGTTAGGCTATTTGTGGGCATTCCCACCAAGTGTGAATGTATGTGCCTTTTCCTCCACATTGTTTCCAGCATAGGTCAGTGTTGGCTATGCCCATCTGTTTGAGTCGAAGAGGGGTAAGGTACCAACGCATCAGTGTTTTGTACGCTTGCTCCTTGTGATTTACACATATGGAGACCGATGCTGTGTTCACATTTTTTTTTTATGTTGCAGTCTTATGCTACAGTTGTTTAATTAATAAATATTAATGAATGATTATTGAAGACCTGGTCGAGGGCCTTTAGACTGGGCCGAAGTTTCACTTTGCAACCAGACAACACCCTAAGACAACACAAACTTAGGAGGAACTTTGTGAATGTCTTTGAGTGACCCAGCCAGAGCCTAGACTTGAATCACACCTCTCTTGATAGACCTGAAAATGGATGTTAACCGACAGACATCACCCGACTTGACAGAGCTTCAGACGATCGGCAGAAATTAATGAAACAGCCCAAATCCAAGTGTGCAAAGTTTATGGTATCATACCCCAAAAGACTTGAGGCTTTAATCGCTGGAAAAGATTCTGAGTAAGGAATCTGAATACTTTTGTCAGGGTGATATTTCAGGTTTTATTCCGTTTAACATTTATAGTGGTGTTAAAAAATCACTGTTTTGCTTTTTGATTAAAAAGTGTTCAGAGTAGATAGATGAGAAAAAAAAAATGAATGTGAACAATTGTAACATAAGGCTTCAAAAATGAAAGCTTGTGAAAAAAATAAAGGGGTCTGAATACTTTCTGAATTCACTGTAGCTGGTACATAGGCTATTTCTATTTTGGCATTTGTGCTATTTCGGACTCTGAAACTGTACTAAAAAATAAATTTAAAAAACAAACAAAAACAATACAAAACCAAAAGGGAGAGAATCACGCTTACAGCATATATGTATGTGCAGGAATTGCTTACTCCTAGCAGTGGAGTAGCAAGACTGCATTTCACCTATCCTTCTGCTCCGACCTTCTGAGTTGGGGCCGTCTATTCACATCTACTTGGAATAATATGAGGAGTTGTGAACCAGGGCTTATCTATCCCAACTGCTCCCTCCAGCTGCTTGTTACTGCATATAAAATAATCTCATGCAAAAGGGAGGTTCAGATGTCATTGTTGGTAACGTTTGCAGAAAACATTTTCAAAACCTAAGCTAAACTAAAAAACAAGTGGAAAATGACATTATTTGTGAAGAATTTCCCATATTTGGATTGCGAAATGTGTAAAATTGTGAGTCCATATCATATCTCAAGGTTGATGGAAGTACCTACAAACTAAATGCAAATTCCGTGGGTAACAACCGTCAAGTTGGTGTAAAGGTAATTGTTTTCATTAAAACAAGGAGTGGGGGCACATAAAAAGAAAACAAAAGTAAATAGTGAGATATTACTCTAAACATCTCCTCCACAAGATCTAGAAATTGCATTTACAGGATACATTCTAAAAGAAGTCACGTCTGATACTATAAATAAAGTAGCAGATTATTGGAATCCTCTTCTGTCTTCTAGTTTATTGGTGAGATACAATGCAAATGATTTATTACAATAAAAAAGTAAAACACACACATTAAAAAGCATTACAATACCCAGAAACAGATAAACAAAATAGCCACACCAAATGGGACCATAACGGAGGACCCCAACAAGATTTCAGAAGTATTCCAAAACTACTTCACGTCCCTATACGACCACGACCCCGACACACGGCAGAACCCAAACACCACCAAAACACTCATCGACCACTACCTGACACATACCCCGCTGCCGTCCCTGCCAAACGAAGCAGCACAAAAACTAGTAGACCCGATAACACCAGAAGAACTCGCGGGCACCATGAAATCGCTCAAACCAAACAAAAGCCCAGGCCCGGATGGGTTCACAGGAGTGTACTATAAAACATTCGCCCCCACACTCTCCCCCCACCTATGCAACCTATATAACGCCATCCTACAAGGCAACCCAAAACCACAAGAAATGCTCCAGGCCACAGTCTGCCTCCTTCCGAAACCCAATAAAACACACTTAGATTCGGGACACTACAGGCCCATCTCCCTACTTAACGTAGACATAAAATTATTCACCAAACTCATGGCAGATCGGATATGCCCCTACCTACCTCAACTCATCCATCCTGACCAAGTAGGTTTCATCCCCACGAGACAGGCCAGCGACAACACCAGAAGAACATACGACCTCATATGGGCCGCAACGTCGAAACGGATCCCCACCCTAATACTATCACTTGATGCAGAAAAGGCCTTCGACAGGCTGCTCTGGCCATACCTATTCGCAACCCTCCACAAATTCGGATTCCCCATGGGTTTCCTAGAAACTCTACAAACACTATATGCTTCGCCGAGGGCCAGTCTCCAATTGCCCCTCACACAACCACCCATGTTCACCATACACAATGGAACACGTCAGGGATGTCCCCTATCTCCAATATTATTTGCCCTATCTCTAGAACCGCTTCTACAGAACCTCAGACGAAACGCAGCCATAAAAGGCCTCAAAATCCGTGAAGAAGAATACAAGACCGCAGCATACGCAGACGACCTGCTTGTAACCATTACCGACCCAACAGCCTCCTTACCACCACTTATGCAAGCCCTAGAGCAGTATGCCGCAATATCCGGATATAAACTCAATATTGATAAAACAGAAGCCCTACCCATACACATAGACCCCCCCACGTTAGCGCACCTACAGAAGACATACCCCGTTAAGCTAAACTCTAACCAAATACAATACTTGGGCATTACCTTAACAACAGACCTCACCCAAATATGCTCCAAGAACTACACCCCAACCATACAAAAAAATTACACACGACCTCGCCAACTGGCAGAACATGTCGATATCCTGGCTAGGAAGACTGGCCTCAGTAAAAATGAACCTCCTACCCAGACTGCTATACTTATTTCAAACTCTCCCGATCCCACTCCATACCCCAGACTTCAAACAGCTACAGTCACGAATCGACAAATTCATATGGTCCAATCGACGCACACGTATAAAAAGGCAAACCCTATATGTACCGAACAGAGCAGGAGGCCTTGGTCTCCCTCACCTTATTCATTACTACCAAGCAGCGCAAGTCACGCAAGCCCAACACCTGCACGCCCCTTACGGAGTTAAGCGATGGGTAGACCTTGAGCACGACATATTCGGTAGAGATCACCCATCCCTCTACATATGGCTACCAAAACAAGCTAGACCCCCTATGCCACGGACTACCCCAGCTCTGACCAACACAATCAAAATTTGGGACAAAGCTACACACAAAAGTGGCCTCATCGCACCCCTGTCCCCCCTCACCCCGATACTCCGCAACATGAAATTCCCCCCAGGCATGACACCCAAAGACTTCACGCGCTACGAAGATAACAACCTCACACGTCTATACCACTTCTTCCAGGGCCAGCACATTACCCCATTCTCCGAACTACCGCAAACGACACCATTCCAAACATTTGACCTATTCAGGCACATACAGATCAGAAGCTTCCTAGCAACACCGGAATACACAAAAGCGGGGACAACGGCACTTACCGCCTTCGAGAAACAATGCATGCAAGCCCCAATTCAAAAGGGACAAATCTCAGCACTTTACACACACATTATCCAAACGTCAAAAATGGAGCTCTCACGTTCGTGTCGGCTTGGGAGAGGGACCTAGGCCCGGCAGAGGACCCTACAGACTGGGCAGATATATGGGAGGCCACAGCAACGATCTCCATCTGCGTAAATCATAAGGAACAGGCCTACAAAACACTCATGAGATGGTACATCACCCCCCTCAAGCTTAAACAGATGGGCAGGTCAGACACAGACTTATGCTGGAAGGGATGTGGCCATAAAGGAACCTACCTCCACCAATGGTGGGAATGCCCCCCGATCAAACAAATCTGGCAACAAGTAGCAACCATGGTCTCCAGAATCCTACACACAGATATTCCGCTAAACCCCTGGATCTGGCTGCTATCGAAACCACACGCTGACATACCCAGAGCCCAAAACAAACTGACAGCAAAAATAGCATTAGCGGCCAGACGGGCGATAGCCGAAAAATGGGGTAGCAATGAAACACCGACCATGGAGGCAATCAGACGAAAAATAACAGACACAATTAAAATGGACGAACTGTCCGCATTGCTGCACGATACCACCAAACACTACCACAAAATCTGGGACCCATGGTTCTACGAATACCCGGACCCCCCCAGTACACACTGAGCAAACCACACACCCATCACACCTCGAACCAGGGCACACGAAGCCCCCCATCAGGGTATCCTACCAACCCGAAGACACCCCCCTTTTTTTTTTCTTTCTCCCCTCTCTCTTGCCCCCTTCCAGATCCACTCGGCCAACCGACACTAGGATCATGCTAAAATACACACCCACCCCAACGACAAAGGGGAAAAATCCCAAAGGAAACTCAGGAAAACACACGCTGACCCTCGACCCTCACCATTACCCCCCACACCAAACTAAACAGACGTGAACAGACCAAAGCCGCAAATTACCCAAAACTCCATGCCCACAACTAAGAGGTACAGGACATCCAGACCACAAGACTAGACCTAGCCACAGAAAAACCTCAAAATATAAGCAACAGATCGCTACGAGAGGGCACTCCTTCCCCCCGTCTCTTTAACTTCTGTACCCCACCCCAAACCCTAGAAGAAACAGGATTGCAAACTGTCACGAGAGCGAAAGAGAACACTGGACATGTAAATAAGCTAAAGATGTTACTGAACAACCTCCACTTGCACGTGGATAGTCAATACATTGTGTACAATAACTCAATGTGATGCATGCATGTACCACGAACAATACCCCCCCTACTTTCTTTCTGTACCCCCATCCCGACAACGTACTCTATCTAAAATTCAAAATAAAGAATTTATAAAAAAAAAAAAAAGCATTACAATATAGTGCAATATTTACATGGTATGTCACCAGAAGTTCACTAGTAGTTGATCCTAAGCTCCTTACCCTGTTTTCATATTATGGTCCTCATATCTTGCTGCTATACTTATTATCTCCAAACTGCCTAGTAACACAATGTAGTGCAAATAAAGAGGGTAAAAGTTTGTATTTAAAGCAATATCACAGTATTTCTATTATCGTCATGCATGATTAATTATTCTTTGCTTGTATGTTTGTAAGTCTTTTGTGTTCATGAGAATATATATATATATATATATATATATACATACAGCTTCAAAGTGATGTCATAATTGCATTTTGTTATACCTAATGGCATTTGTGATTTAAGTTTTTATTATTGTGTTGACAGTGTGATGTAATTATTCACTGAAAAGGCAAATATAAGCACAATGTAAATGTAAAAGATTCTTGGAAAGCAAAAATGGAATTCCCTTGCTCGTCCCTACCTGCACTTTATGCCTATTTAGTGGCATCTAGCAGCTTTAAAGTCCCAAGAAAATATTTGTCATGAAATATTTAACGCAGTTAGAATATAAGGCAGAGTCATGTAGCAGAAGTAAATTGTGTATTTTTTTTAATACCGTTAAGTTAAACAGTAGTGTTCTATTGTGTGATATTACATTGTGCCCACTAAGGGCCTGTCAGGATTACAGAATGATCCAGCACGTAGAATAGTGTACACAGAGGACTGATAGGTAATGTATACCGGACCTTAGAATGGCCGGACTAGTGTACCAAAGAATAGTCAGGAATAGCCGAGGTCAAAGGATACAGAAAGACACAACGATAAGGAAAAGCCAGGGGTCAGGGATGCCAGAAAACAGGGAATTCAATATCAATGCCAAAGTCAAATAACCAGAAAAAACAGAATCAATAACGCGCTCTCGGACAACCACAAGGGAAACCACGACAGGGCATAGAGCAAGAGGAGAACTGGGCCTAAATACCCCGCCTGTGGACAGATGAATATGTGACAGGGCCAAATCTCATGGTTCCGAATGCTCTACTTCAGATTTTAATAAACCTGTGCCTAACACAAATAATTACTCAGTAAAACATAACCTTTATTAGATGCAATATAAAATAAATTATAGAATATGTTTTTATAATAATAAACTAGATAGCCAAACGGGCGATTAAAATCCAAGAACCATCTTTGGTGTAAATTAGAAATGATATTGAAAAAGAGAAAACAGGAAAATGAAAAAGCAAATAATAAATAAAAAAGTATCCGTCGACCGAAGCTGAAATGTACACTAGTCTGCTTTAGTTGGCAAAAAATAGGGGAGAAAAAAACAGTAACAATTATTGAAAACAATATAGCAAGTGTAGTAACAATTATGTAGCAGTTGTAATAACAATTATAGATAACGTGGAAAGGTATATGCCTAGATGTAAGCAAACAGATCAATTGGAGCAAAAAGATTGGAGAAAGTCAAACAGTGATATAGGAAAGGGATGAACTATACATCTAAATAATTCCCTAATGTGCCTTCGTGGGCAACCCTTAAAAAAGTCTAACCCCTCATCACTCCCAAACTCAGGGCTGAAAAAACGTTAAATACGAATAGATTAATCAAAGAGTACGCTCCCCACTTAACAACTACTGCCTAATAGTTAAATAGAAAGATTCAGATAAAGTAAAAACATTGCGTGGTGGCTGTCTGGTAAATCAAAATAAGCTGCAGTATCATCCCTTGTCTAGCTGCCAACCACTGCACTAAACTTTCCTGATGCGCGTTTCGACAAGTAATGGCTATTCCAGGGGAGGTGTCTTTGGGTCGCATGGTGGGTCCCTTTAGAGAACCACCTTTACCAGATTTGCAGGTCTTCCCTTTGGGCGTGGTGCCCAAGAAGGAGCATGTAAAATACTGTTTGATTCATCATTTGTCGCGCCTTTGCGGGATTTCGGTGAATGATGACATCTCTTCGGAA